GAACAAGAGCCAGAACATAACTGTGTTGAAGTGATGGGAGGGACAGAGGGATGGGCTCTTCTCTGTGGAGCCTGGTGTCAGGACAAAAGGCAGTGGGCACACACTGAAATACAGAGAATTCTGTTTCAATGTAAGAAAAAAATTCTGTCCTGCTGTGAGGGTGGTTAAACACTGGAGTGGGCTGAACAGAGAAACTGTGGGGTCTCCATCTGTGGAGATATCAAAAACCCAACTGGCCAAGGACCTGAACAACTTGCTGTGCTTTACCTGCCTTAAAATGAGGGCAGGGGATGGACTAGACAATCTCCAAAGGTCCCTCCCAACCTCACCTATTCTGTGATGCTGGTTTCTGTCACTGGCTTTCCTCACTCACCTTCTTTGGGTGCAATAGGAATGGGTTGCTATTGGGGAGGTCACTGCCCCTCGGCGTCCGGCTCCCCTTCCCTTGTGGAGCAACTCATTCTTTCTGCTCCTGGACAACGTGATTCAAACTTGCAAGGAAACAGAAGAAAGTTTTGATTTCCCAACCTGTTATTTTTTCCATGAGATTTTGCTCAGAACTAGAGGGGTTTTTTTTATGACTGTTTTTACTGCAGAGTTGGATGTGGAAGATGAGATCAAGTGTTCCAGCAGCAGCTGGGAGTGGGGGCTACAGTAAGAACCTGTTGGCTGGTTGGGTCTGGGAGGTGAATTGACAAAGCTGATGAACAAGAGTGATGCTGCTTTTCTTACAGGCTCACAGCAGCGTCACTTCTGGAGAATGTTTCTTTTGGTTTGTGTACTTGTGAGAGAGATTTTCAGTGGACCCTAAAAGTCTAGAAGGAAGTAATAACAAGACTAACCCCCTTTCAACAGACCAGTCAGGTACATAGGAAAGTAAGCAAAGTGCATAGAGATGTGTCAGAGGAGAGAAAGGTTGGGGAAAAAAAGAGCAATAAAAGCAGGTGACAACAGAGGCAAAAAAAGACCAACAGCCTATGACAGTCACCTGGAAAGACAAATGAAAAGTGCATTTGTTTTCTTACTGCATTAAGGGTGCGTGTTTAGTCTTAATTCCTGCTCTCACTCAGCTTTTCATTCAAATGTATAAAAAACAACCAAACAACCAAATACAAAACACAAAGAGCTAAAAATATAGTTTACCTAAACCCTCTTTTTTGCAGCTAGCTGAGAGTCTATATGCGAACAGGTAAAGGTGGCTTCATGAGAAACTAGTCATCGTTGTAGTTTAAAGCAGCACTACAACTTCAGTTACTTCTAGATGCTCGGTTGGCCTTCCTGAGATGCCGTTCCACCAACAAAGCATTACTAAAACACACGTTTTGATTATCTCCTGGCCTTTACCTGTCTGCTCCGCCAGGTTCAGTAGTGACAATAGGAACTAATTGTTTCAAGTACTTTATGCCTCGTGGGATTACCCTGTGCTAAATTCATCTTCAACCACATCCTAAGGCAGATGGAAAGCAGGCACTTTGATCCTTACCTATTATACTCCTTTCCCTTCTCTACCTCAAATCATTATATTGTCTCCAAAAAAATGGTTAGTTCCAGTATGTTCTGAAGTGTGTGATCTGAACATGTGGATGAAGGGTACTGCAGAAAATTGGTTGTATGGAATTCAGGGTTTGGACATCAATACTAAAATAGTAATGTCCATTTCACTCGTGTACTGAAGCTGTATTTCTCATTTAGGGAGATAGTGATGTAGCGTGATAGCCATGGGTATTTGTACAGGGAATGAAATATCTTGATTTTCTGCCAGGATGTTCTAGTATGTGAACCCCTTTGCAATTAATTGTGCAGCCTGAATTCTCAATAGCTCACTGTCAAAACGGGGAGTATTTAAATAGAAAAAGCAAGGGTACGTTCTCTTTGGTGTGCACGCTTACGTACCTTACAGACAACTGCAGTACTTCAGAGCTTTGGAACTCAAAGAGCAAGAAAACAATTTCAAGATGTGGTCTGGTATGATGTAAACTATCTCTATAAAAATAGTTTTCAAAATATGCTGGAAGTATTGGTTATTGCCTGTTATTTCTGCTGGATGAAGGACATGAATCTGTATATGAAGTTTGAAAACACTTCTGGGCCGTTTGCTGACTTCCCTTGAAAACTAGATAAGAACAACCAAATTTCATCATATCTGCAAAATCAGTTATTATTGAAGAGAATGTTCCTAAGACAAGTGGAGCACATTCAAATACATTGTCTGCCCACATACTGTGGACAGGATATGGTGTGAATTGTATGAAGTTGTGTCAAGGGAAGTTCCAATTGGGCATTAGGAAAAGGTTCTTCACTGGTCAGTGGTCACTGGTTCTTGACTGGAGGGTGGTCAGTCACTGGAACAGGCTCCTCAGGAAAGTGGTCATGGCACCAAGCCTGTCGGAGTTCAAGGACCATCAGGACAATGCTCTTAGTCGTATGGCTTAGTTTTTGCTAGTCCTGCGAGGAGCAGGGAGTTGGACTCGATGATCCTTATGGGTCCCTTCCAGCTTGAGATATTCTGTGATTCTAGGACTATCTCCTGCTTTTACCCTCAAATCCATGTTCCCTTGAGCAACAGACTGCAAATCAGGTGGTTGTTATCCTCCGTCAAGAGATCATTCCACTTACACATCACTGTATCCCTTGCCAAGGGAAAGAATGGGGCAGAACAAATACAAGTTGTTATTTAAAAATGTTTAATTGAAAAACAGCGCTACGTATATTCTGTGCACAAACACGTGTTCCTGTGCCTTTGGAGGGACAGGGAGAGGAGGTTTAGGAGCCACCCTCTTGCCCCAGGACCCACTGCATTTTTGGCATGTGCAGTGCAACATGTGTATGGTGATGGTCCCCCACAAAACATACCTCCTTGTTAATGACAGCCACGAGAGCTGGTGTTAATACACCTCGAGGCTGCAGTTCTGTCCTGCTGCTCTGTGACACGGGCTGGGGGAGCAATTTCTTGTCATTCTACTTGTTGCAGGTGGAAATATATTTGGGTTGTAGTAAGCTTTATCTCAAGGTATGTATAATGGATCTCTTTTCAATACAAACAGGTTTTTTTTGTCACGATGAACTACAGTGTGAAGTGGAAGAAAGAATGAGATGATGATATAGGTTATTGTTATAGCATGGATTATTATTGTCTCCTCCTCTTTCCTTGTGTCTGACCAGCCAGACTCTGCTCCTGTCACGAACTACAGTGTGAAGTGGAAGAAAGAATGAGATGATGATATAGGTTATTGTTATAGCATGGATTATTATTGTCTCCTCCTCTTTCCTTGTGTCTGACCAGCCAGACTCTGCTCCTACATTACATATTGTCATCCTGTGTTTGATAAACACTTTTAAACAATGCTGGTTTGTGGTGTTATCTATAGGATAGCATGAGAGGATGGCTTGCAGTGCTGCCTGTTGTCCTCTCTGGGTCCTCCATGTTTTTCTGCAGCTGTTGCAGGGGATTTTTTCACTTTTTGACCGGCTAACTTCTCCTCTCAAAGAATTGTACAACCATGGTCTCCCTGACAACAAACTTTGTCATGCAGATGTATTAGAAAAGCCTCTGACTTATTTGTTCCACGATTAGGCCCCCACAAACCCAAACAAAAGGATGATTTTGTATCGCGTTTCAGCCTTGAGAGCGGGTCGGAACGCGGCTGTCCTGCTTCCCCCTCCAGCCCGCGGGGCAGCAGCCCGCTGGGGCAGGGCAGAGCCGGGCCGGGCGGGTGGAGGGTTCCCGGCTCTGCACGGGGAATCCGGAGCCACCCACCGGAATCGGGGAAAGGCGCGGGGAAGGGAGCCCCGCAGGGCAGGTAACGCGGGTCTGAGCGCCGGGGAGAGGAGCCGGAGCCCTCCTGGAGATGGCAGCATTGAGCAATGTATGTTTCAGCCCTGGCTCGCAAACACCCGTTTCCTACCGAGGGGGCGAGAGTTACGCGTGCGGTGCGTTTCAGCCCTGGCAACTGCGGATCGCGCTGAACATGCGGTTTAATGTAGCATATAACGATGGAGATACAGTTAGCTGGCGGCGCTACGCGGGGGAAGCCTCTTCTGGGGACCCTTCCCGGGCCGCGGCGGTGCCCAACCTCCCGCTCTGCACCCGGGGAGCGGCCGCACCGCCACCGCCGGGGACGCGCCGCGTATCGGCCGGAAGCCGTTCCCGCACGGGCCCCGGCCCGGCGGGGAGGGTCCGGCGGCCGCCGAGCGCCCCCCGGTCGGCGGGACCCCGCTCTTCTCACGGCGGAGGGCGCGCGCCGCCTCGCCCCGAGGGGCGGCGGTTAACGGCCGCGGTTAACGGCGGCGGCTCCGCGCTCGGGCCTGCCCCGCCGCGCGGTGCCGGCGAGAAGGAAGGCGGGGAGGAGCAGGAGGAGGGAGGCTTTCCGCCAGGCCGGGCCCGCCGCGGCGAAAGCCGCCACACTGCAGAGGCCGCC